CAAGCTGCACAGGAAGGTTGCAGAGGGCGCTTCCTGCTAACCAAGACACTTCTATTTTCATCTGTGGACTAGCAACACACCTTATATAATTTCTTTTACAAATTCCTAGGGAAGGTGTCTTTTCATCCAAGCACTCTCAGCTGTATGCACAGAAAAAATTCAGTCATTTCTGAGCAAGGGGGAAAATATAAAAATATCTGTGACTATCATTACTCATACTGACTGGCTAGCTTTGATATGAGCTTAACCTACTACCCGTCTCCTGCCAACACTGTTGTCATTTTCATGCTTATGGAAGTTTTTAACATTTAATCCCACTTTTAAGGGAAGAAACTGAGGCACAGACCCACCCAATATCTTGCCCCAGTTCACAAATGGCAGCCAGGAGCAGCATCGAGGTTTCATCAGCCTTGGTTCAGCTTCCAGTCCAGCTCTCCCCATTGTAGTCTCTTTAAGAGCTCACAAGAATTTTGGAAAGGAGACCACAGAAAAGATTAGCATGCTGCTCAAACCCTCCTGATTTTTCAGGGGTTTTGTCTGCATTTGGGAAAGTGCTGCTTAAGGGCACCTCAAACATTCGTTTACTAGACAGGTTTTAATTTGTAATTATTTATACTCCTTTTGGTACATGATGTCTAGAGAAGATTTATTTTTGGATGATAAGCCTTTATTAATCATTAAAAAAAAAAAAAAAACAACTACCATTTTCAAATGTCTTCCCTCCAAGAAACAGAGAACCCTCAGCACACTCAGATGCTTGGTCATGAATGCCCTCTCCTGTTTAAATCCAGCATTGCTGCTGGAGAAGAACACGGCCACACAACTGCAGGGCTGCGAAATTATTTCTCAAGGCATATTAAACAAATATCATCTTGCCTTTTCTTTCCAAGGAAAGGTAATCATTCTTTGGAGGAACTGGTTGTAGAACCCAGGCAGTCCTTATGGAGATAACATGACATGAGCAGAGGTGTAATTTCATTTTAAAGATATCCTCTAACGTGTTCCCTTTGTTTTCAGCTGTTGACTCATAGATATATGGCACTCCAGTCTCATAATCAATTTTATTAACAGCGTGATTTTGTTACAAGCTCCATCATTTCCCTCAGAGTTCTGAGACAGATAATACTGGGACCTGTGATTTGTTCCTTTTTCATTTATCATGTATGACTCCTGTTTCTCCAAGAGCCTCTTTTTGTGTGTGTGTGTGTGATTTAAGCCACTTTATCAGAACTATAGAAGGAGCTCTCCCTTAATTCAATTTAATGACAAATTTTCAGGACATTGGGTGGTTTATGAAGGGCTCTGACCTGTACAAACTGCTATATAAAAATGGCAGTCTGATGGATTGAATATACTGAATAGTACAGTATATTTCAGCTCCTTGATAAGCCCAAAGACTTGTGTAGTATCAGTAAGCCTAATTAAGGATGAAGTAAGCCTTGCTTCTCCTAAATACTCACCCTGATATATGTGCCTTATGTGGACAGAAAGATTCAAAGGGAACAGCAGCCCCCTGGGCTGGGGATGGGCCATTTCACTCTGCTTGTTCTTGTGCCTTTTTATCACACTCCTGTTGGTGTCAGGCTCAGTGCTCAGTCCCTATTCCTGCACTTCCTTTGCCATCTGCCTTCTTTCCCTGGGTATGATGTACCCTTTTTTCCCAGAGAGACCCCAACCTTCTGATGTGCATCCAAAGAAAAGCTACAGTTTTTTTGTCCATTGTCTTTGCCTCCATGGCTCTTTAAGTCCCTTCCCTGCCATCTGGTTTTGTCCGTCTTCATCAGTGGATGAAATCTCACCTCTTCCTCACCTGTCTGTAATTGCCACTCATCTGCTCCTGGCTCCAGTGGGGAGGGATTAGCTACCGGGGGATGCAGAACCACACAGAGGCATGGTGCAGTGTGAGAATGAATGCCAGGAATCATTTCTCCTTATTTGAATTAGCTGCTGAAAGTTCATTGTTGAGCAGATGATTGCAGAAGTCTGGCAGTTTTAGTATGATGTTAAATAAGAGCAGAGCAGCATGTTTTGGTCAAGGCCAGTTTGCTCTAACTTTGCATTTGGCAATTTCAAGAGGAATAAAGCTGAGTGACTGCATCAGGCCTTTGCACCAGCAGTGGAATTTGCAGCACCAAGCAACTACTAAAATCACCCAGCGAGTGACTTTGAGCCTAAGCAGTCAGGCTGTCCTTCTTACTGCCTCATTAATACAAATTTAACTCTGCTAAAGAATATCTCAGATGTATGGAGAGTAACCTTCATCGCCATATTGGCTGTGAGAAGCATTTCTACGAGGACCCCATTTTCTGCTAAAGGTCATATTCCTGAGCTTCCTTTTCTGAGAAAATAAGGAGGGGCTCCTGTTGTCCTAATACACAGCTGTACACACCTTTTCATTTTTCTTTGTTCTTTTCTTTTTTAGCCCCAGCTCCACTTTTGTGCAGACCTACCCTGAGCAGATTTTCTGCCCTCTCATTTTGACATTCTAATCTCATAATTAGCACCAAAGATATTCAGTAATGGATTTACATGGAGGGGGCTAAAACAGCCTTTTCCCTTTTCTGTTGAGGCAGCGGTTGGCTCCCTCCACTTCAGATGAAGTCTCATCTAAATCCCGGTGTCATTACTTATATTTAGACAGGAACATCTGCTCCATGCTACAGATGACAGATGAAAGTCCCTTCCTAGATGGCAGTCCTAGATGGCAGGTTACAGTGGTAATTCACCTCTGGATATCACCGGGGTAATGCCTAAATTCTTGCTTTAAATCCTCCCTGTTTCACTGTTGGGTTTTGTTCGATATTTTCATTGCATCCCTTACAGCATTGACCTTGTCATTTCCATGGCACAAGCAAGATTGCCCTGAGGACAGGTCACCATTGCCGAGAGCGGTGCAGATGTGAAGCAGGGATGCTCCGGGCCCAGCAAGTTCTGCTTGGTGCACAATGGCAGTATATACGGTATGAAAGCAGGGCTCCCTGCCTGGCCTGGCACTGCCCTGCTCGGCTGGGCAACCTTCACTGTGCCCCCCATCAGCCTCACAACCTCCTGCTGTGCCTGCAGTGGCTCTGCCCGTGCTTCCCCTTCTCCTTTTCCAGCTGCTTCAGCTCCTCCTCCCCACCCCAGGAGATCATCTACTCACTTTCCCCACCCAGCCACCCGCAGCTATTCCCAACTTTGTTCTCAGTACCTTCCCTTGAAGGCACTTCTCTGCATGGATTCCCTCGCACTTTTCTGTTTCAGTCCCTTCCCTCGGTAAACCCTTCAACTTGACTTGGAGAGGCATCAGTTCTCCTTAGAGACAGCTCCGTGCAAACACGCTCCGCTTGCTGCCCTCTCCTGCCAGCTCCCGGCTCACTCCCTGCTTCCTCTCTCTTATCCCCATTGCTGGTTTCTCTGCACACATCTCTTCTATTCCCAGCACATCCCTATTTCTGACTGTTTCCCCTTGGACTTTTATTGCTGGGAATGGAAGTGAAAGTTATTCTCAATTAAACCAAAAAGGCCATCACAATGCAAAGTAATACTAGATTGTACACACCCACAACCAGAAATACCTAATCACACTGGGATTTTGCGTGGCAAAGCAGAATTTTGAGGCAATGCTTCTATTTTATTTTTATTAGTGAGGCTTCAGCAGGGAGCGTGAGCACTGCTTACAACATGTTATGCTTGTTATTGTAAAAAATTACAGGTTGTTTTTGCTAAGGAAAGAACAGTGCTACAAAATAGCACATACAAGGCATTGCAAATACTGGGAAGCTGTCTCAAAATAAATGTTTTCATGTTTTTACTTATATTCTAGCAATTTGCCATCTCATTTTCTCATGTCCCTGAATCATGTTGTTCACTGATACTTTTAAACATTGCACAGCATTTAAGCTGTGTAAGGGAACTATACTTTTGCTAGATACCTGCTTTCCATTTGCAGGTACTCACTGAAGGATAGCACACCACTGAAGTGAAAATGGATGTAACTCTATTTCCTGGTGTTTCCCAGAATAGCTGATTGCTTTGCTACAGACACCACGGCATAGGACAAGTGGCACGGTTACTTTATTCTTTAAGCCCATTCTTTGAATGCTGCCTCATAAACCTCTTGCCTCATTCCCATATTTCCCCACAGAGGTCTCACTGTTTCCCTAGTAACAGAACAGGCTTTGAAATTTGTGGAAGTCTTAAACAGTTGTCACTACATTATATTCAAATATCCCAGAGAGACCAGAGGGAGCACTCAATAGGAAAAAGCACAGCATTCTTTGGGTTAGTACGGCTATGAAATAGGGCAGACAAGGGTCTGCCATAAATCATTGTGAGAACCCCCCCAGAGTGCTGCATCCAGCTCTGGAGCCCCCAAGACGAGACAGACATGGATCTGCTGGAGTGAGTTCAGAGTGTGGCCACGGAGATGCTCAGAGGGCTGGAGCACCTCTCCTGTGAAGACAGCCGAACCGAGCTGGGGCTGTTCTGCTTGGAGAAGAAAAAGGTTCCAGGGAGACCTTACAGCACCTTCTAGTGCCTAAAGGGGGCTACAAAAAGCAGTTACAATTAGTGATAGGACAAGGAAGAATAGTTTTGAATTGAAAGAGTGCAGGTTTGGATTATAAATTATTTACTTTGAGGATGGTGAAGCACTGGCACAGGTTGCCCAGAGAAGCTGTGGATGCCCCACCCCTGGAAGTGTTCACAGTTGGCTGGGACTTTGCACAACCTGGCCAAGGGAATATTGTCCCTGCACATGGCAGGGGGACTGAAACTAGATAATCTTCAAGGTCCCTTCCACCCCAAACCATTCTATGATAAAAGTGATATAGTGCATCACTGAGCTTTCTGCAAACAGCTTTATCTGAGCGATATTCCCCATTCACAGACTAGAACTGTTCTTTCTAATGAGCTGCAATACCTGATGATCAAGATCAACCAGTTAATTATAATAAATTCAAAACTAGCTTGATAAATTTCTAGTGAGGGGACAAGAAACTGCTAGTTTGAAATACAACTTTATTTTTTTAATCAATATGCAATCTACAAAATGTTATTACAAGATTATCAGCATGATCTCTTTGCACTTATACTGACAAAAGACCCAAATAAAATTATAGTTTCCATTAGGAGTAACAGCACTGCTTCAGAGTTATCAAAATTATTGCTAAGAACTACTAACTGCAGCAGTTAGTTACTGTGTTAAGTAACAAAAAGACAAATAAATGCAAAATAGAAATATGGACACCAGTACCACAGCAAAGAAGTCTGCCAGGTAAAATAAACACAACCAAAAGTAACACGTGAAAACATGTGTTCAGATGTAAAATACTTTTGGACAATTAATACAGAATCTGGAAGAAAACAAAGCAAGGAGCATAAGGATGACAGTGGCTTGGTATCAAGTTCAATGGAGTGCATCATCATCGTCATTTCTTGAGAGTTTCTGCCCAGGAGCAACAGAACCATTGCTCCCAGTCACTGCAAAGCTTCAGCTGTGGCATCCAGTAACACCTCTTTTCCTACCTTTGTGCTTTCTTCTGGTTGGAATAAGCAGGCATTGCAGGTTTCTTACTGACATAAAAAAGCATCTACAGACCATTACCACTACTCCTTTCTTCTTCTTTTTTGCCTCTCTTTTATTCTTAGTGACTTTGATGCAGATCCCATTTTGTCAGTTAAAAGACTTCCACTGACTTCAATGGGTGTTTGAATTCAAAATTACATCAACTACCATTTACTTGTAGTAATACAATTAATATGGGAAAGATGAATGCAAAGATAAAATTTGTCAGTTTTAGAAAATACACTTTGTAAGTAAGGCAAACACACTACAAAAATAGTTGTTCTCATTGATTTCTGTTTTAAATATAAAATCTCCCAAACACTGCTGGTCCTTTGTGAAGGAAACAGAGATAACACCTAAACATTGCCCTGAAGTAAATGTTAATGAAATGTCAGTTTCTTTAGTGACCCAGACACTTGGAAGCATTTCAGTGACTGCAGGCGCTCACTGTGGGAAGCAGAGACCAGACACGTGTGAAACCTGGCTCCTCACACCATGCCAAAACCTCATGGGTTATCTAAAGCTCCAGTCCTGCTAGCTGGACACAGCTTATGCATCACAACAACTTATAGCAAATGTTCTTCATCTCCATTCCCCTTCCCAAAATTACAATTAGACTACTTGTAGCCCAGATTTCTAAAGAATTCAGAGCCCATTCAGTATCAGCTGCTGTAATATTCATGTAAAATGCTAGCAATGAGTCTTAGAGTTTATAATATTTGTTTAGTAAGTTATGCTCAAAACAGCACAGAAGAAAGGAGAAGCCTGGTTATTTCTGGCTGGGCATGTTGCAATATAATAGGAAGTTCAAATTTGATGGAGGGGAAAAAAGTCAGATAACCCAAATTTTATTTTATTAAACTGCAGCCTATTTTTAAATATTCTGACATCAAAGCATACAAATATCAGTGTGAGACCGAACAGAGTAATTATTCAACCTTAGGCTGCACTAATTGTCAAGTTTAAACTGAAAGTCATGTATTAAACAGAATAACTTTCTTTCAGTGTAGCAGTATTTCTGTGGAATTAATTTCCTATTACCTTGATTCAATTCTGATTAAAGTTAATCATGAGTCTTGCAAGCGTCAGATGAAAATCCAGGGGTTTGCAACACATATAAAGCTGTATCTTTACCTTTTTATGTTACTGAGTTCAGTAAGTCTGAATGATCATTTGCACCGTAACACCTTAACACAGCTCTCTAGTAGGAATGGTGACTTGTAAGGTAGTCATTCTTCATTTAAGCTACTCACTGCAAACAGTAGTTTGTATCTTGAAGGGCCAACGCAACACAGGCTCCTTGAACATACCCTGAGACACAGCAGAAACCTGAGAGCAGAAAAGCAGCCACAGCTTCTGCAGGACTGTAACACCACCAGGTACCCAGTGCCCAGGAGGTGAGTGCTGTGAATGGAGATCCTAAGATGAAAGAGGTGGAATGGAGATATTCAGGTTCCTCTTTCTTAAAAATAGAAAAAGAGGGGCCAGCTGGACGACACAGACTTCGGAGAGAAATCACTGTTAGTAGGTTTACTGAATTAGCTGTTCACTGCCCATCAGAACAAGCCAGCCTCAGACAAAGATAACTGCAGGTAATTGCAATGCATATTTTGCTTCCTCTACCTCACTGAGCAAAGAGGTTAATAAATATTTTAGCTGTAGTACAACCATGTGAGACTTCAGCAAACTGCAGAGCTTACCAAGTTGCCAAGTATAAACACTTTGCCCAGGTGGCAACACTGTGCCACTTAGTTCAGCTGAGCAGAATATAAACCAAAATGAAATATTAATGAAACACACCAAATATGACTTGAAGGTGCTAATGGCTTCTCAAGTCAAAACACAGATGGAAGATGCAACAGCTGAGACATATTTGGATCACTACTATAGTCCAATGCTTTCTTAGATTTAGAACAATATAATCTGCTAATAAAAAGGGATATATAGAGAAGCCCAAATACCATAATAGTCTACTTGGGGCTTTGGCAATGCAATACCCATAAAAAACCTGCCCTCAGGACTTACTATGGAATCTATTACCCATTTCATTCTCAGCTTCTGGATGGGGGGGAAAAGTTTATTGTGATGAACTAGGTTCATATTATGGTCTTCTGTTTCCTCAGACTGGTAATTTTCTTGGTGTATATCCCACATATTTCTACTGCTGAGGAACACCATTTATCTGTATTTTTACACAGTGTTCATATAAACAGTTACAAGCTGTATAAAATATAAAGTGAGGCAGTGCATTACTATATTTTTGTTCTCTACTAATTTTAGTTTGAAGTAAGGCTAATTTTAAGAAAACTGCAGGCCAAAAAAAAAAAAGGAAAAAAAAAAGAAAAAAAAAAAAGAGTATTTTTTAAATTTATCATATTTCTTCAGACCTGGAATTGCAGCCTGCAGAAAATGACAAAGGGGATAATGGCTGAAGGGGAGTATTAGAACCTTTCCCTGAAGGCCAATTGTTTGTTGAAAACACAGTTAACACACTGACATTAGTGATTAGTGGCTCAGGCTGCCCAGTGAAGCATCACAGCTTCATGTCTCTTGTGACAGCCCATTCCTGCATTATTTCCCCATGGAAAATGCCTTTAGAGCCAGGAGCATGAAAACATCTCCCTTTCCATGCATGTTTTGAAATTTACTCAAAGCCATAACTCCTGCAGTTTCCTTACCAACATCTGGAACTTGCATCCTAAAGGAGACAGAGCAAACAGCAGCAACCAGTCTTTTTTCCAGCTTGTGGGGAGAAACCTCCTCTAGTGTAAATTCTCCAAGCCTCATCAGATGAAATGGGTCTGGACTGATTTACATTCACTGAGAATCCACCCCTTATCTCACTTGCTACAGTAGTGAAATGGAACTGTCTAATACTGGCACAGAAACTTCAATCACATCTGCTATTTTTTTTTCCCCAAGAGATTACTTTAAGTAAACCTATAAAGTGCAGAGGAGGAGACAGTTGCAGCCACAGGAGAATAAAGAGTATTATTGCAGAGGACCCTTTTTCCCAAAGAAATCACCCAATTTTCAACCCCTTACTTAAGGCTCTTATTGAGAATATTATTTGGACTTGTTCTGCTCACATACATCAAGGTGGGCCAAAACATGAGGGACTTCAGTTTTCAAACAGCACTAAAAAATGTTATTGGTCCTTCTGGACCTTACACAGGTGCTGACAGATCATAAGCACTCTGGAAGTTTTTATTACCAAATATTATATGTCCAAGTGACATGAACCCTTTGAGTAGAGCCATTAGGTTTCAATACAGAATATGAGATCATTCCCAAGTCACAGATACACAACAGGAAAATAACACATTAGAACCAGTCAATGAAGTGCTCACATCCTGCCTCTCTGACAGGGAGACCTTTACTCATACCAGGACTCCCATGACAGGAAGTTTACTTGAATGCAGGCCAGTCAAATGACTACTGATTTGCAGACTCAAACCCATAAGCACTAAAAAAAATTCAATGACCATATTTACCCTAAACTAGGTCACTGCTCGTATTCTAACAATAGAATTTCCTATGCAAATTGATTCCTACTAATATCCTATGACAGTGTCTCCTGTTCTCTTTCATTGCATTAGGCAGTTGCCAGCCTTATCTGGGTCTTCTCCATCAAGCCTAATCCACTTCTTTTCAATTTCAACCTGTAGGTAGAAAACAAAAAACAGCAGGTAGAATTAGCAAATAATTGGACACCAGAAGTGTGAACTGCAGCAACAGCATGGAAAAAAGCTTTGACACAAAATCAAAATATTTCCAGACCCAATGGATTTCAAAACCACTACTCCCAAAAATAGCTCAACTGAGGAAAAAAAAGTTGCATTCACAGTTCTACTTTTCAGCCTCATCTTTGATCAGAAAAGGAATTATTATTTAATGATCCTTTTGCTCAAAGTCATTATCAAATGTACGTGCAAGAATACAAAGCACATTTGCTTTTCAAATACTGTATGAGGGAGCAGGGAGGGAGAGGAGGAGGAAAACATGGAAAGCATAGCCCTGAGCATACCTGGCAATTGTAAAAAGCTTTCTGAACCACATGTTTCTGGGGCTGCAGATCACTCTCTATGCCCAGGGACTTCACTTCTGTTCCCGAGGCACAGGTATCATGAATAACAAACTGGACAGTAGCAAATGGGTACCAGTCAGATGGTATCTCCTGGTCTGATCCCAGTTCCAGTTTGTAAGACAGGCTGTGTGGATGATCCAAACCTTGGAAAAGAAAAAGAAATCCAACACAGCATTAGCAAATTATCTTTTCTTTGTTTAGATTCATCTCATAGCAAAAGGGCACAGCTTTACCTCTTATAAACATTGAGCTGTTGTTATGATACAAGGTTTTTCTATCTATAAACTTTTGCTACTTGGGCATAAGATGGACCTTTGTTCATTTTCTTTCTGCTTCAGCACACTTGTCACACTCGTTGCAATTTTACAAATTAATTTACACAAGATTTACCAGATCCTTTCAGCTTCTCATTGAGAGAAATTACAAATGTAGGGCTTTGTTACTAAATTCAAACTATTTGATGGAATCTCATTTTTCCCTTAAAAATGCATTTCTTACTTTCACAGAAAAAAACTAGAAGATCCCAGTGTAGCCAAGGCAGAGATGCTGCCCTGTGTCCAATAATCCCCTTTCCAGATCTATCTGCTGTAGAAATTTTACTGCAGTGCTTATTTCAAGTAGTACAGCTATCTTGTGTACTATCATTTATTACAATATGTCCATGGCAGGAAGATAAAGGTGCAGCTCAGAGTGCTGCTCAAACAAGATACATCCCACCTGCCAGGATAAAGGCTACCTTGAGTCCCTAGCTAGTTTGGGAAAGAACATATCCCATTTCTTAAAAAAAAAAAGTACTTCTTAAATAACTGTGATTTTATAAAGCAGAGTCATGAAGGATTTGTGCAGCATATTCTGAATTACTTTAATCATCCTAGGGATGATCCTAAGGATCATTTGCTTCAGCATTTTTTACATGTGGCAATGATAAGGGCAAGGTCTTCTGGCACACAGGAACACCAAGGTGAAAACCTGCTTCCCAAAGCAACTGGAGTCAGCAGACTATGTGTGTGAAAGCAGAATAATACAATTTAATAAAATGAAAAGAATCCTCTCCAAATTCTTCAGGGCAAAACGTAGCAATCCTGCATTTCTCCTTCTCTCCAGGATTTTAATCATCTGCATAGACAACTAACTATGCTTTGGCTGCAGGCAGGGAAAAAAAAAAGAGGAGAAAAAAAAAAAGAAGAGAAAGGATTGCCTGTATTTTGTCAAAGGGAAGCTGGCAGTGTGTATTTGGTTTTCATCCATTACACTGAATGGAATCTCGAAGTTCAGGAAAAAATGTCCCATTCTTTATGCACTGGCTTCCTCCAGTGACAGGAATCAATTTCATATCAGAAAGAAGGAAACACTGAAGATGGAGTAAATATAAACTGAGCTTTATCCATCCCATGGGAAAAATCATGCTAATATTCCACATCCACAAGCTCACAGGCATTTTGTATGGCAAAAATAAACAAAAAAGCTGCATCTTCATTGCTCCTAGAGGCCTTGGGCTGGGTTGTGCTGCAGGTTTTCCCTGTAACATTACACGGACCTCTGGACACACCTCAGGAGAGGGTCCTGCAAGATACTTGAGCACAAACATCCCCAGTTTGCAAGGAGTGCCATGCCAGGGGCATGCAACATGCAGCTGAAGTCTCAGGACAATAACACAAAACACAGAAACAATAGAGCTGTAACATCAGGGATTTTATTATGGAAATGGAGGGAACAAAGTCCAAAATAAGGATTACAGCCACCTGCCAATGTCTTGAGAATTAAACAGGAGCACGGAACAAGTGTGAGGAGGAGATGGTGTTCCATCACTCATGTACACAGGGACAGGCAGATCTCTGCACCTCTGTGATGTGAGCTTTGTCCATGATCTGCTGCTGGTCACCTCTTGCTGTGTCCAAGCCCATTTCTGCTGCACTGACACTCTCATGGTCCACAGTCCCTCTTCCAGACTGCCTGGACACAGTGGAATGAGCCTTTGTTGATGGGGGCCTCTCCATCCTTGAATCCTCCATCATCCCAGGAAAAGGACACCACAAGGAACATCCTGTTCCAGAGCCACACTGCAAGTTGTCATCCCATCTGAACTTTTGGCTCTCAGGACCTTGGTGATGCCAGGATGCAGCTTAGCAAGACACTTACTTGACCTGCTCTTTGTGCTTTGCTGCACAGACTGCACAGTGCCAGCCACAAGTGAAGGATCCTGGAGAGGACAGCAGGAATTTCAGCACCAAGATGGCATGGCATGTCTTGGCCAGGGAAAAGGCACTCTCTGCCTCTGCAGCTGTGGTTAATCAAAGATCTGAGAAAAAAGGGTTTGTTGCTTGTAGTTAATTTGGGGTAGAAGGCCACCAGCATAGATCTAAGGGCTTTTGGAGATCAAATTCAGAATCTTCCTGGGGGTTTTTTGTGGGAGGGAGACCTATGAGGAAACAAATAGCAATGGGAATTGTTTAGCAACTTATTTTGTCTTCTGAGAAATGGAATCCAGAAATAATCACTGCTTGGAATTTTCCTGGGCACATATCAGATGGTAAATGTTGGATAACAGACACCCACTTGAGTCCAGGCACAGATGAGGCATACCTCTTGGGCTGTTGCTGGATTGGTTTGGCTGTTGAAGGTTTTCCTGCTAGACATGGCATAGTTGTGATTCAAGAGGACCATCCAAAGAAACCTCTGGGTTCATATTCCAGCTGACCTACAGCCATGAGGTGGTCTTGGTGTTGGGATGCAGTGAATTCTGGGGTGCTTCCTTTTCCTTAGGTGGTAACCTGCAAAGGCAGAGACAACAGCTTTGGGATTTGGATAAGGATACTGCCTTGGGTCCTCTGGAGCAGCCTCCATTGGACCTTTTTGCCTATTCCTGAAACACTGTGTTACCCCCAGCCCATCTGTCTCTTGCACCAACACCAATGCCAAAGGGAGGTACTCACCCCTTCACTTTTGGAGAAGTTCTGCCACTGCTGGGCTCTGCTAGGAGTGTAGAGCAACTTCTTCCCATCAACTGTCAGACAACAAAGTGACTGACCAGAATTTTGGAAGACTGTGACCATCCCCTTAGTTTTCAGCTAAAACTGAGCTGTTCTTGTCATCTCTGCTCCATGAAACCACTGCTTCCCAGGCCTTCTGTTGCACTGGAGTCAGAAGAAGAGGGAGAGGCTGTGTGTAGAAGATCTGTTTGCAAAAGAAACTGTAATGCTGAAAAAAACAGGTGTTGGCCAGAAGGAGAGAAAAGGTGGTGCTGTGGAAAGACAGGTGTGTTGGAGTAGGCACAGTGTGCTAAGGTGACATATTCAGAGCCCTGACATATTCAAGATGACATTTTCAAGTTCAGCTATCCAAAATGTGTCCCATCAGGCACTGTTGAGACATGACCACCTGGACTGATGAAATCAAACACTCGGAAGAGTCAGGAAAAGATTTGGGGAGATTACTGATCTTTTACTACCTAACCTATGAGACAGAAACCCTGCAGTTTAGGTGTCTATGCAACTTGTTAAGACTCCTGTGAATTGAGAGATTTTAGTCTGCCCTAATCTGAAAATCTGGCTCTTGTTTCCTTAAAAACATTCCAAACTCTTGCTCTCTGTCTCCCATGAATACCAACAAAAAAGCCAAAACAAACAAAAGATCAATTAAACTGTGAAACTAGATTCCAAATATCATTTAGCATTCATATAGTGTTTCAAAAGCAATTAATAATTTAACGTTGCACTTACTAACACTGTTTAGCCCTTTTTCACCTGTGTAAGTAGCATTCAAGCAACCTTGATCTGACAAAGGCTCGTGAAGCAAAGCAATTAAAGCCAAAATAATGTACTGATTATCTTAGTTATGAAATAATTCTATTTTTGCCAAACTAGGTCCAGTTCTAAAACTCTTACTTTGAACATGAAAACATAAACAATTACTAAGAACAGATTTGCAAAAGTTAGGGTTGTTAGAAGTTAATAACTCCCTCAACTATGTCTAAGTGGGTACATTTATCCAAGTGGCTGGGAGAAGTGCATAGGAAGTACAGGAGTGGGACAGTACCACCACCAAGCACCAGCTCACACTGGTGCCACTGCCAGGAGGAGGTGGCTGGGCAGGGAGGGAGCACACCTGACAAAGCCATGGCCTTGAGTTTCTACCTGGGCAGTTTAGCAAAAAAAGAAAAGCAGCACCTGTTGGTTCCTGGGAACCACATCACCTCCCACAGCAGAGTCCCTGCACAGATGCTAAAGGCAGTAACAAGGCTGCCAGCAGCCATAACCTCCTCAAGCTCCAATTTGCTCTGCTGTTCAGTCCCTGCTTCCTCAGTGTGGCTCCATGATGCAGAATGAAAGAAGAAATAATCAGCTGAAGAGCTGTTGCTTTACACAATGGTTCGAGGATGGAGGAATTTTTCCTAGCAGGAAAAATCACTGGGCTCAAATTTACACAGCAAGTGATTAAAACACAGTGCTTTGCAGTTTAGTGTCTCCCTTGCTCCCTGGGAACTCCCTGGGGAGCAGCTGACACAGCTTCCCCACTGCAAAGTCCAGCCCCAGTACCGTGCAAAAATCATAACAAGTTCTGCATTTCCTTACACAAAGCCCCAGTTTCACAAACATAGACTCAATTTTCAGAAATTTCACTGGATCAGCCCTTCAAAGGCTATTGCTTTTTTCCTTTTTTCCTTTTTAAAAAAATAATGTTAAAATTCTGACTTCAAATGCAACATCTATGTATCTGAATAGGTAGAGACAGCTTTTGAAAGTCTGGTATTTCTTGCAGCTCCTACTGACTTCACTTGGCCAGCACTTTTCAAAGAAAACACTTTAGTAGAATCCAGTGAATATTAACATATTTCAATGTCTATAAATGGAGCTACAATAAAACTGTAGGCAACCTTTCCTTCTCCCTTCCTTTTTTTTTTTTTTAAGAAGCCTTGGACAAAGGCTTTTTGAAAGCAAAATCCTCAGCATATTTTTCTGCCTGCGGTAAACATATTATGAAAGTTTACATATTTCTATTAGTTTGACTGTCTCCAGACGTTTGGCATGCCTTGGGACAACTCTATTTTTAAACTCTTAACTGTGTACAGAACACTTGATAAAGAGGTTTAAAATTTGACTGGGCAATATTACTACTAAAATGTTTTTTCAAACGCATGAACATTTCACAGAGACAAATGTTTCTGCAGATCTCAGCTACAGGAATTATTCAAAAGTCAAAAGTTTAAGCTACTGGTAGAAAATAATGTAAAGCTGTGGAATGCCTAAAAAAAAAACCAGTTCTTTTTTTCAAATAACTTAAATCTGAAGTTGATTGTGCACATCAAATCTTCAGGTGAAAGAGCTGCAGGAAATTCAGAAGATTTATAATCTTTAAAATCACCTAAACTGCTGACTTGATTTTACAGAAGCAAACCTACATTAAACAGCAAAGAATACTACAATCTACCCAAAGGGTCCTGTAAGCCTTGGGAAAACACTTGGGTCATAGCAACTTGGTGTAAATCTCTGAAACCTGGAGCACAGGACAGAGATTTTGAAGAACTGAAGAATCATCTTCTGCCTTCTCATTCTCTTACATCTCTCCATCAACTCCTCTGCCCTCCCTGTCCATTTTCCAGTCTCCCCAGCCCATGCCCTTCACTTCCCTCTCTATCATTGCTCTTTCCCCACCATTAGTCCTGGCTTAGTAGTAGAATGCCTGAAACAGGAACTTAAGAAGATAAAACCTTTTCTGGTCATTCTAAAGAGGCAGTTAGCCCAGACAGGATAATACAAGATTAGGAAAATCCATATGTTAGTAACATACACTTACCCTTTTTTTTAAAAGTACAGATTTTATAGATATTTTACATGGAATGCTTTAACAGGTGCCCTTGTCTTACACAGATCCCCAAAGCTTCAGGTACACATAATGCAAAGGATCAAGCAAAGGATCAAATGCCTTCACTCTACAGAACTGGAAGCAGGATACTGTATTCTTCATGAATTTTTACTATGTCTTTAGAAAGGTACTGGCAACATGACTAAAAATTGGAATTTTAAACCCAAATATTTGTATTTTGTTTTTCTTCAAAAATTCATACTTTCTCCTTTAAATTAAAGTCAATTAACTACTTCCACATGTGCAATTAAAAACGTAGCTGCTTTTACTGCTATGAGTTTTCAGTACCATCACCAGAAAGAAATGGGAGGCATTTTTTGTCAGTGCAGTAATTGCCATGAATGTACAACCTCAATGCACAAACCCATGAAAGAGGTAATAGAGCCCAGCCTTTGCAAAAGCACAGTTCCTACAGCCTTTTTTCTTCCTTCCTACAGCAAATTTAACCACAGCACCTTCTAGTTCTGTGTCATACCTACCATTTCGTAAATGATGCTCGAAAGCCAAGACCCAGCAGTGACAATGCCACTTTTTCTATTAACTGTGTGATATTGGGTGGGCAAATCATTTTACCAACTTCTGCTCCCCATCCCACTCAGTGCCCAGCTGGTGCATGGGAAGCATAAACCCTTCCCTCAGCCTTACTACTAAGACTAGAGGTTTACTCAGAATGATAACGATACCACACACTCAAAACAGTACATCTGCCTCCGTCAAGTTAATTACAAAAACATGCTTTAAAGAAATCGGTACGTCTGTATTCTCTTTTTCCTAAAAGATTACTCCAGATTCTACCAACAGCATCCCACAGATAAAAACCCAAACCACGACAGCTGATGGAGGTACACAAGTATAAACCCAGTGAAGACACACACCCAAGCCCATAGCACAAATTATTTACTTGAATTTTTATCTGGAAGCCTGTCAATCTTCCACACCACGGCCCTGTAGGCATTCTCGTATTTTGCTGTTCCAACCGAGACTTGGATTACAGGATCAGATTCAACCTCATGCAAAGCCCCAAGGCATGCTCTCCTATTCATTTTTGCTTTTAGGGACTTCTGCCTTTGGAGGTTCATGGTCCAAAGCGCTTTGATCCACTGTGTGGGAACAGGAAAGCGTATCATAACATTTTCACAGTATTTCACAGAGGATAAACGTGTTGAGATCTGAGCAGTTGAAGACATGTTTATGAAAGCCTGAAGTTCAATGTATGCCCCCTGAACCACCACTGCAGCCTTCACAGAAAAGGGAAGGTCTTGCCCATTGTAGCGTGTCCTGAAACGCATCAGTTCCAGCCTGCAGGCATCCGGGGGTGTAAACTTAATAATCCGTGATTGCTCAAATTCCTGTGCTTTGACACAGTTATGGAAATGGCACTCGAGAATATCGATCCACTTCTTCTCCTGCTCCTTCTCAAAGTAACGCTCATCCCTCTTCTGGAGTTCCAGGTCGTTCAGGGTTAGAAAACACTCGGCACCGCCATTCACAAAACACAAGCAGTAAATGTGTGTGATGACCGCACTTTCTACGAGTTTTCCTTCTGCCTTAGTGACTTTCCCCCAAAAGTTATCCACTATTTCCAGAGTCATTTCTTGCTCTTCATAATTCCTCTTTTGTCTGGAAACAGCAGGAAGTTTCATGAGCTCCTCCTCAACCGTCACGAGGAAATCGGTGAAGTCGTTGTAGTCGGTGGTGCCCAGCTTTAACATCTGCTCCACCTCCGGCTCATGGATCACCTCTACTTTGGGGTGGTACCTCCTCTTCTCTGTGTAAGACACGCACTCAATCTTCACAGTGTGGATTTTTCCTGAGACATTGTAGCTCTCCAGTTTGGGTTCCGACAGCTTGCACTGTGGCTGCAGCTGGAATTCCTTGAAAGGTTTCTCCAGGCCCTTTTCGTAATACATCTGCAACACCCCTCCAGCCAGGACACTCAGGTAAATAGGGCCCCACTGCCGAGATGACATCATGTTCTTCTTTTCAGGAATCCTCAGCATGAAGGGCCACCCATCCGATTTCTGGCTCCTGAAAAGGCTGTGTGGGATGGCAGGGGAGAGCTTGTGCCACGTGTGGGTGCTGGAGATGGGTGAGTTTTCCATGGCCTCACAGCTGTCAGCTTGCAGGTGTTCAAGCCTCTCACAGATGTAACTGAAAGAGCCCTGGTTAAGGCTTTTCTGATCATGACACGTTTCTTTGTCTCTAGGATGACACCCGCTCCTGTCAAGCACTTTGTCCTTCCTGTGCGCGCTAACATTAGCTGGCAACACGCTGAGGGAGGAGCCTTCCTTCCAGAATGGACTGGAAAAAGCACAGTCGCTGTGGAAGTATGGGAAGTGTCCTGGAGCCAGCTCCTCGCAGCTTCCTGGTGGGTTAGGGCTTCCTTCATCTGCAGATTTGGAGACCAAAGCCTTACCTGGATGGTCATTAGGTGAGGGGTTCAAAGGAAGGCTGCTCAGTTTCTGCGAGGCCAGGGATGAGCAAATCCCAGCGGATGGAGGATGGTTAGCGTTTGAGGGCCACTCAGGGATGGGATAAAGCATGTGAATCCCAGACTTTGAAATGCAGGGGTAGTCTCTGGTCGGTGTAGTAAGTGGAGAGTTGCTGGGGGGTCCGGGACTTAGGTAGAAATCAACTACAGGAGATGAGAGTGGAGTGCTGCCTGTAGAGGAGGACCTGCTTGAAGACTCATGAACGCTGGACAGGTTGAGCTTAAGGCCATTCGGTTTGCAGCCACTCTGACTGTCAGCCAGTTTCTGAGGTGACTGGAAGAGAGGCTCATCATCAAAGGTGACCCAGTTTGCTGGATTTGGGGAACACATCTTTCAAGAGAAACTTGAGGCACTTGCACAGCACATCACCCACAAGCCATCTATGAACAAACAACAAACATGATTCAGATCAAACTCAAATCACACAAAGCTCAAATTTGCAAGCAGTTCACAAATCCAGTGTATTTTGTTTTACATGTATAATCTGTGTAGAAACAGATAAACTGCCCATGAATCCCCACTGCTCTCCCAGGTTGGGGATTGAAGGGAGTTCTAAGCTCTACGAGCTGTTCAGAGCATCTGGTGTACAGAGCCTCTCAATCAGAGAGAGCAGAATGCCCCACAGCAGTACAAGACTGCTTGAATAATACTTTCAGCTTCATACTATAAGACATATACAGCTTATGCATCATTTCTAAAATGGACAGAGACTTTCCATACTGGGCATCTGCTCGGGGTAAGGTTTCCCCTCCTTCTCCCATCAAAAAAACCCAGCACTTTACTAAGAATGGTGTAGCTGTTTCTAAAAACAGAATCAAGAGGGAGAGACGCGATTCTTTTTTTGATGAAAAGCTGTAGCAACTCAGTGCTGATGGCAAAGGTACACTTGCTGCTGCCATCAGGGCAAAAACCTGGATGCCTGCCAGACCTGGGCAGGAATCTCTTTACATCAGTTCCTTCAACCCAGGCTTAGGCTCTTGGAGACTGGGTATAAGGAAGCACTGGAAAGGCATTACAGTTTTAAGCAAGAAATTAGCCCTAAGGATGAGCAGTGGATTCCTGCAGAGGAGCAGACTGCAAGCCTCCACCACAGACAAAACGCTGATGAAACATAAGTCAAGGCCAAGTAACAACACTCACATCTGCCAAGCACTGAATTGGCTGGTGGCCTGGAAAAAGGACAGGTCTTTAAACCAATTAATAAACTCCACTTCATCAAACAAAGTGTCTTTGGTAAAGGGCTCAGCTGGATGTCCTCAGAGCAGGACTGCAACCAGTAAATCATTAATCTTGCCTTCATGGTTCTAAATTGTGTGCTAAAATTTAAATGCTCATTGCATCCTTATGCAGGGCGTGTTGTCCCCAAAGTTTTTCCTCCCCACTGCTCCTGCCTGATGAGGGAGCAAGCAAAAAATTGCCAATGCTTGAGGAGGAATCGAGTACAATGAAACACCACGGGGGCACATCCAAACATCCCTGCTTTGACAGAAAGTTACTCTTGTTCTGTCAGAACACATTCACGTTTGCCTGAAAGCGCAAGGAAGGCGGAGTTCACATAGACAAAAACCACCTGCATGTACATTACTAATTAAGGTCAGCTAATGATGACTTAGAGCTATTGCCCTTGGTGCACAACCAGCCACAGTCAGGCTGTTTAATTGCACAGCACTACAGAATCACATAACCATAAAAGCCATTCTTTATCTGTAACATTTAGAGAACAGTTCACTTCTAGACATGCTACAGTACAGCCAAGTGAAACTCGTGCTACAAGTCTTTATTTTTATCGTTACTCCATTATTTCTGGGGCAGTTTGTAGCCAGTAAGAAAATGCCATAAATCATGGCATAGTCTGCTTACTCTGAGGCTGAGCAACAGAGAGCTCTCAACAGAGGAGGACTCTGATCCTTCATTAGTTTTTGAACTCTCGACCTTTTTGTTCAGAAAAATATTTGCACTATGCTAGTTATTTCATAAGCACTCTAATCACCACTTACAGAAAGAGAGAGAGAAAAGGAGCAAACAACTACAAATTATTATCATAGCTCAGACACACACAACTACCAGTGTGTCCTTCACCCACACAATCACTTCATCATGAAGTGCAGCAATGGAAAGAAAAATCACTGCTATTTGGTCTCTGACTTGGTCATCATTTTTTCCTCCCATATCACACCCTTCTCCTCCTCTCCCTCTGGTTGCCACCATGGCTCTTTCAGCATTAATTATTTCTAGAGCTGAAGTTTCAAAGTTTTCAGCCCTTTTCTCAAAGCCTCATTTGTTAAGAGCAGCTAATGTGATGCTGACTCGGGGCGTGGCTTTTTCCTGGAACAGCCGGAACACTGGGGCAGCCTGCTAGGCAAGAGAACATAAGGAAACAGCCTCAAAGGCTGCTGGTAAAAACTCCTCTGGCATTTACAAGAGATAAGGGATGGCCAGAGAGGAAAAAAAAAACACGCTGTGGATGGGAGAGAAGCCTTTCTCTGGGGAGGGGCTCTGGGGATGCTGCCACAACCCTCCAGTGTGACCACAGCCATGCTCAAGGGGCAAATCACACAACACTGAGATGAACCAATGGAAAAGAAATCAAAAAATCGGGTGTTTACAATAAAGAACACATTTGCAGACTGTTTCCCTTTCTTGTTAGAAATTAAATTTTTCAGTGTCTTTTATTATTCCCAGATGTTTGGGGTGTTTTTTTCCCCCAACGTCTGTTACTATTCCCTTTTTAAAATGCGATGCTGCAGATTATTTGGCAGGTTTGGTTCGGATTTTTTTTCTCCTCAAAACAAAAAGATGTTTGAACTCCACCTGCCAAACATATAACTTCAGTCAGTAAGTGTCAATGAAGAAAACCACTTTCCCAGATGGAAAAAAGTAGGAAAAAATGTTTTCCTCTGCAGTCACAATACCCTTGGTGTACCTGTCAGAGGCTGTACCTGTCACCTCTTGTTGCTGTTGCATTTACGTGGGAGTTTTAAAAAGAAAAAAAGATGCTGATGATAACAAAAACACACATGCAAAAGTGTTTAAATAGATAGTGGTTCCCCTACTGTAGCTCACTGATCCCAAAAATAACTACTAGGAATGGAGAAAAAAAAGCCCAAATGGATTTTTACAAGCTGATTGAATAATATCATGCTATTAAAAGGAAATGCACCCTCTTGTGTGTTAAGGACAGCACCACTCATTTAAAAAAAAAAAAACAACTTAAAAATCAGTCTTATGCTGCTTTATATCACTTGTTCTCTGGTTCTTTTACATCAATACAATGCAATAAAGTAATGCTTTCAATTTCAGTTTTGTCCTAAACCGTGCTCCAAATTCCTTTCTATGAACTGGGACGTTCTTCCTTGAAATCAAAATAAAGTTCAGGCTGCAGGATTGATGTTTTTTTCCTCCAAAAAGGAATGGTCTCCCATGGGACCCACATAAATGTAACCCAAATGCTTAGAGTAAAAGGAAAATTATACAAGATACCATTGATCACACTCATGTTATGTGGCCTGTGACATTTAAATTACAAGCACATGTAGTATCTTGTTCAGATATGAGGCAGGAAATACCATTTTTAGAATATTGAAACTGCCAATAAAAAAAGCTGGCTGAAATAGCAGTTGATCCTAGGTGCATTAATTCCAGTGAACCCAAAAGTTGCATCTCATTTCAATTCATCCTCTTCTGGCTGGAAACAATCTTTGCATTTATCAGATTAACACAGTCCCTCAGCATTTAATGAGCAGACATTGCAGCTTAATTTCTTCATTTTAATACCTTGAGGATGGGAGGAAGAGAAATCCTATCCTATTATTGAAAGATTTCATAGGCTGTAGCTATCACTTCGTTGCTTCAGAAATCCCTGATCAAATCTGCAACAAAAATACGGCTCAACTTTCATGCCTTGCCGGGGGATATTGTCACCTCTTCCTACACTGAGCACTAATAATAGCTCCCAACTCACTCTAAGGTGCAACTCAAGGTGTTGGCTTTGGACCTTTAATCCAGATGCACCTGGGTCCTCAGTGAGCTGAGGATGCTGGCATGTCATCAGCAATGTCCCCACCATGCTGACAGCACGGCCTTCTGTCACCTCTCTCACAGCAGCAGCACTGAACCAGCGCAGTGCACGACTGGACCCCCTGCACATCTCACTCTCAGGGGTCTTCCCTAAAATTTGGCACCAATTAAAACCCTCAAGCATGTCCCCTTCTGATCAAACACAATGGTCCTCTTTAAAAATATTGGAGGAGCACGGGGTCAGCTAATGAGGAACCTCAGGGAAACAGCTCCCTTCTACAAAGCATAAAGCAAGTAAATGCAGTGTTTAATAGACAGTACTCACACTCCCAACACACAGAGAAGCATAATTTTCTAAGTACATTCTTTATTGCCTTTCCAGTTCCAGAGGCCATTGCAGCTCCAGACTGTTAAACTACACATCCTTTAAGCAAATTCTCTATGTAATACCCAGGCATGTACCTTGTGTGGGCCACTTGTTCAGTGGGGCTGTACTGGGTAAACACCAACCTCATTACTTGCTCCAAGCTCAAAAAGAACCCCAGATTTATCTACATACAGAGTAACAAAAGAGTTAAATAATCCCTTCCAAATAAGCTGAGCTCTTCACATGAGTTGTTCTGTTTGTGGACAGTGACTGGTCATTTTATTTCCACCCTTCCAGAAAACCTATGGACCCCATACTCTACTACACGTCAATTTTATTTCCAGGAGCAAGGTTGTCTGTTGCATACAGGCCATATAGAAATTTAATGCAAAGCTCTGCACCCTGTGCATGCTGTGGTGAAGCTGTCCCATAACACCACCATGAGTTGTTGCTGTTCTTTGTACAAACACCCAGACTGTTCTTCAAGCATTTTGCCACAGAGTGCAATAGTCTTGCAGGGAAGTACAAATTCTCTGCAGTTTAAGCAATAAAGCACATATGGTACATAAAACGCCCTAAATGTTTCTAAGCCTTTGTGATATCCAAGTAAAACATGGCAGATTTATCTCTGTGTTTTACAGCCATATTCTTTGTGTCACTGTTTTGGTTATTACTTAACTCTGCAAAAAAAAACCTTGAAGCATAACTTCTGCATAAAATACTGCTTGATTTATGATGATTTACCTCAAATTTTACTTTGATAGTACATGTGGCTGCACTTCTATTTAACTCTGTTTTTTCCATCCTAGATACACATAAAAAATTATCTGGTCTATACTTCTGAAACAAACATAAGCAAAAGCCACAGCTGATGGGAAATAGGAATTTCTTGGCATTTTCTTACATTTGGAATATGGATTAAGCCTCCACTGCATTACTCATTTTAGAAAATAAGGAACTGGTGTAATAGTCAAAAATACACCAACTTCTAAGTGCAATGTGACCTTTTATTTATATTGCTTGCTCTCTGGGGCATAGGCACAGCTGGGAGAAGTTCAGAGCTTGCAGCTAATCTGTTTAATTTGGAATTCCTTACTCTTGGCCCCGAGAGCTGGAGGAATTAAAGCTTTTAGCTTTTGACAGTGTGCATGTCCCAGAGCAAAGGCAGGGCCAGCTCTTGCAAACACCTCTCGCTGTTGTTTGCTCCTGCCTCAGTCACAGGGAGGGTACAAATCAGGAGGTTGGGTGTTTGAAGGCACAAGCTTGAAAAAATTGACATATTTACAGCTATCAACACAACCCATCACAATTCCCAAGCAGAGACAGCACTTACTTTCCTTGACAGGGAAAAGGGTTGGGCAGAGGCTGAAAAGCTCTCTAGTGAGGCTGATGTCACAGGGTTTGGGGTGTGGGGGGATCCCCACCAGCAGGGCAGGACCGATGGTGACAGCACTGCCGGTCCCTGCGCACCGGGAGAGCATCCGGAATGCAGCCGGGGAGGGATCCTGCAGGCACTGCACCATGGAGGCCTGGAAAATCCCAACTCCTCTGCCTCTCAGGGTCACACCTTCTGCTTTAAAAGGCTGTGAGCCAATATGAGATTCACACAGGAGGGAAAACCTATGGGAAGCTCCCAAATGGAAAGTGAAACAAGAGCAGCCAGAGTCATGTCTCTGGTGACTGCTCAAGCCTGCTCAGCTGCGGCTCAAGTGGATCCTCCCCAGAGAAGTAGCTCTTCTTCTCTCTGACAAGAGGAGGAGGTTGGATGGTGAGGATCTTCCACTGTATGTGAAAATTTAGCACAGCTACTCAAAACAATTTCCATCTTTGCTGTTACACACTATAAAAATGCTCATTTTCATGCGCAGATCCATTCTGGGAGTCCTTCCCTAACACTCAGATGTGAAGTCACTCCAAAGCTGCCTTGAAAAGACAACAAAACATCATGCATGACTGGTCCTGTGTGCAACAGCATCAGCTTTGACCACTCTTCCCATACACAGTGAGCCATGATTCCCACACCCTCCCTCCCCCTGCTCCAGCAGTCACATCACCACGGGTGAGTCACATCAGCCTTGTCCTTCACTGTTTTCTTACTGGGGAGTAGGAATCAAGGCAGAAAATTCTAGAGACATTTTACTGGAAGTGTCTGTATAATTTTATGGAGACAAACCAAAGGTATTTCCTAAAGAGATTGAGAGATTTTTACAAATCACAGCCACACAGCCACCTGGGATCTGCACCGTCATTCCTCTCAAGGATTTTTCTGCAGAGCTTGTTATCAGGGACATAACTTTCAGAATGAGATGACATCAACAAAATAAAATAAACTAAAAATAATAATCAAAAAATAAATTTTCAAAAAAGACACTTAAATAGAGATCCAATTCAAGTGATAATGGGAAGGATACTGGAAGGCAGACCTGAAGCTGCAAAAAGCAGCAGAGGTCCTCTTACCCCATGGGCCACCTCTCTCACCTGAGGGGAACTGTAAGGTTTCTTTCGTCAGGTCCTGCACTACCTGCTGTGACTCAGCCCAGATCCAGACACCTTACAGAACACATGAACCAGTGAATATAACAGCATGGAGAAAGAAGTCAGGCAAAAATCAGCCTCCAGCTACAAAACATACAAGGATCACAGGCTTGCAACAAACACTTTTTAACATTAAAACCAGTTTTCCCAAGCCACAGCTCCATGTAACTATTTTGTTTCAGGAAGATGAAATAACATCTTACATCACACCACGAACTCTGCATAAT